CTCTTGTTCTCTTTCCCAACAACAGTTTTTAAATGTGTCTGGTTTTACTACAACCAAGCAACCATTAACAAAGTTCTTTGTTCCTTTGTTGCATCGCATTCATACGCCCTGTTGGACGCCCACCCTTTGTACATTTATTCAATTTCCCTTAATTTAAACTCTCCTTCAACCGAAACATTGGTAGATTATTCAAAAACAGGATATGCCTCCCATTTACCTGCTGCTATCAGTGGCTATCACTCTGGGCAATCGGCCATGTCCGTGGATGTGTTTCAGCTGCGCTTGCTGCGGCATCCTGGATCCTTGTTTTCGATTTTCGTCTCCTCTTTGAAAACTACACCCGAAAATCCTGCCAAATTGCTTTGTTTTTGTTATTCTTGGGGGATGGGGTTGGGAAAACAATGCCAAATTTAGACTGCACAGCGGGAAAGGGTTAATGACACCGAAAGTCAAAACAGCAACAGAAACGTTGGGGGATTTATCGAAATCCTTTTACTCGATAATTGAAAAGTAACTTTTAGGCAGCATTTGGGATATGTATAGATTTTCAGGAATGTATTTTGGTGTATTTAACTTCTCTGGAATATTTTTCCGGAATTTTTTGTAGATATCCGCTAACGTTTGAGTCGCGCGGCAGACTAATCCGGCCGGTTGGTTTTCGAGAAGTTGAGAGCTCCGAGCTCGAGGTTTTCCCGCTGCATCTTCGGAATTTCCACTCGCGCTTGATTTCCCTCTCTAAATCTCTCTTTTCGCTGCACTTTCCGGCCAAAGAGTGCACTCTCTTTCGGCCCGATTCTCTTTCTGTGTGGTCATGTTAACACGTTTGCATTTGCGGCTTTTCTTGTTATTATCTCATTATGAGCACGTTGCATGTTTGATGATGGCGGGCTAGGACCGATAGCGAGATGCTGCGGTTGAAAAATGGGGGGTTGGGCGGTAACTTGGCCATGTCAATTTAATTTTGTGGAAATTCGCTTTCGACGCACCAAATCAAGTTAATGTGTAAGGGCATTCCGGTGGCAGCAGGAAGGAAAAACTACTGAAGGGTACGGATTTATTTTGGTTCCTGCCACACTGCAATTCAATTAATTCGGAGCGATGCATGACAGGCTGCTAACGAATTCAATTACCTTAATGTCAAGGTTTATTTACTGTTGATTTAAAAGGCTTTTAGTGGTGAAAGGTGCGTTTTTAAAAATGTATTTTAGGGGTAATTTGGGTTGTACTACACTTTCAAAAGCACTACAAGTTCTCTTTGCTTTATTTATAATTAAAAGGCATTCAGTAATAATTAATTTTAATATAACCCATTGTAAATAAAAGTAAATATATTTTCGAAAATATTATAAAGAAGAAATCAAGAATTTTAAATTTAATTCAATACAGTTTCATTTTAATAATATAGTTTAATAAATTATTAAGTAAGATCAAGTCACCCACTTGTAAGATTCAACATTGTTAAATATTTAATTGTAAGGTTCCAGTTTCTAAAAGTAACTTCAATCGGAAATAACTGATAACATTAAGCTCTTCTGACAATTTAGCTTGCCTTTTTAATGTGTTTTAATTTATAATTCAGAACTGAGTCATTTCCCCAAACTTAATTTATTTAAAGCATGAATCAAAAGCTGTTGTTAATATACAATTTTTATTTATGACGTTGTCGTTCATTAATGGATGGAAGATTAAAGTGTTTAAAATAAATTATTCGCTTTCAGTCCGACCTTTATGAAATTTTAAAGTGTTTTAAAAAAAATGTATGCCCACATGTTGGACTTTTATCCTTCGCCCACATTTTTCGCACAAAGAAGAGGAAGGTTTTTGTGTTTTAACGCATCCCTTTAACTTTTCCCCCAGACTCTAATAGGTTCTCGTTTTGGTGAAAATTCTCCCGCGCCTAGCTGATATGGAAAACTGTAACTGTTTTGTAACCAAACACGTGTATTCTGCTTATGAAAGGAAAATGACGAGAAAGAGGAAAATAGTAGGTGGTGGAAAATGGGATAACAGAGGCAGAGGCGACTCGTGTCAAGTGTAAATGAAATTTCCAATCTTGCCGTGTGCGCAAAAATCAGCAAATGAAAGCAAAATGTGGTTGTTGCTGTTGTCGATATTGATTTTTTTTGTTTCTCCGCTTATGTGGTTTAATAGTGTCACACGAGAAGGGGTATTTAAAGGGGGCCAGAAAGGGGATGGAACCATTTTGTGGGTAAGGTCGCGTTAAAAGCGTTGCGAAATGGATGACAATAGACAAGCCTGGAATTTGGTCGAGTTGCTTTTTCAAACATTTTCTAAGCCAACATCATCAGTCGGATTCCATCTGTAATTTTAGGCAAACAGCTATTATTAAGCCTATCCATATTTTTAATTTTTCACTAAGTAATGTTCTGTATTTTTCACAGATTCATTTTATTTACTTTGTTGAAGAAATATAATAGTACCGTACTTTTAATAGAATAATAAGAATAGAAATAAAACATAAAAAAAATATTTAATCGACAATTAAAGGTCACTTAAACACAGTTTAAATATAAATGCTATGAAATGGATTGATTGTCAGTGAGTTTTCTGTTTAACTTTCAATTTTTTTAAGTATAAGTTACATATTTATAAGCTAAACTGTAGACGCACGCGTTTGCAGTAACGCACCTCAAGAGGAGCTCTCGAGCAAGTGTGGGCCATTAAAACAGACACGGGCTAAATATAGCCAAGGACTTTTACCCCCTTGCACTAGAATTAATTTGGCCAGGAAGGTGGATGCAAGCCAATATAGTAAATCTATCGATTAGTGCTTTTTATGTCCCTTCCCAACATTATCCATCTTAAAATTTTCCATTTTCCCCGATCTCCTTTATAGCAATTGTACACATTTGATGATGAATTTTTATTGAACAATTTGATTGAGTTTCAATGGGGAGAACAGGTGGCCGAAAAGAAAAATGCAAATGTAAGTTGTTTCGACATGCTCGAAAATCCTGTGTGACATACGGCAGCTCAATTGAACCTTATTTACATATTCATGTCAGCAGGCAAACAAATGTAAATTGCATGGGCATAAGGCGAAACAAAGTACAGTCGAGAGATTCTTCAATTCAGGTCGAAAACTGACTACGAGTAGGATTATTTAATTTATTACCTTTATTTGTTAATAAAAACATTGCTGATGTCCAATAAATACGATAGAAGTATAAAAGTTACAAATAAAACTTCTTGTTTGAATAACTTTGCTAACTTTGCTAATCAGAAATAGGAAATTTGGACCCTAACTTGTAGCCCAAAAAGTTACACGCATGTTTTAGTTTGAACAATTTTCTTAACGAGTTCAAGTTACTGAAGTACATTTGTCCGTTGTAACAACATTTTATTACCTAAGCGTATATGTGTAGATGTTAATGGTTAATCCCTCAAACGGAAACACCAAGGATATTATATATTTCCCATAAAAACAACCAACCGGATACATACGGTATACCAAAATGGTTTGGTTAAGTCAAGAATGATATTGGCTTCTCCCTTTTACCCAAACATTTTATTGAACATGAAACTCTGTACCTCTCGTCCCTTTTCTCCCTGGGATTTCCATATCCCAAAAGCCATCAGCAGGATGTACTTAGAGGACACAAGCTGTCACTTGACATACCTGTCCCGCGTGTAATTATACTCATTCCTGCGCTCAGTTTTTAGTTCGGTATTCAGTATCCATTGCCATCCGAGAACCACGTACTCGTGCTAATTATAAGCCTGGGGTTCGTTGGCTTAGGATGGCTTAGATCTTAAATTAATTGGATTAGATGCTAGCATCTTGTGGGTCTCGTTTTCTAATCGATTCCAGCGAAGGTTGCGTTATCGAAATCAAAGATATAGATAGGCACGACGTTGATGTGGGTACAGTGTACCCACAATGTATTCATCGATTATGTGACAACATTTGGGGCTTTTATTTAACGGCAATGTTCTCTGGGCTTTCGTTTGCCCTTCGATTCCCTTTGTTTGTAATCTATAGAACATTTCTCGCTATTTTTTGTACTTGCTATTATGTAAAATAGTTGTAGAAACGCCAGACAGGTGGGGATATAGAAAGAGGCCCAGCTAATGGTCATTAGCTCACATGTTTGGTTTGCCAGTCGGTGTCGATTCAACTTTGGCAGTGACTTGTTTGCTTAGTTGGCCGACAAAAGTATTTAAACGGAAGGCTATATAATATCGGAGAGGTGTGCTCGAACAATCTGACGTTGGTATAGTGGCTAATTTAATGGCTTTCGGTTGTCTGGAATAAGCCCTGAGTCACTTGAGAAGTTGCTTGATTGTTTTTTCGGTGGGGTGTGTTCTTTATTTGTTGATCAATATTTGGAGATTGCATTGTTGGGGATAGATCAATCATTTTCATTTGTCGAAACGTTGTTTTTGTTTGTTTTAACACATGTTTTTGCAATACGAAGAAGGTAAGATTATTCTCAACGTTTTTTTTCATTTGTTGATATATTAACTTATTTATTTATTTCATTGTTTGTCTGTCTAGTAAGAATTCGTATTTCTAATAAAGCCAAAAATGTGTTCATTAGTAATTTGACTTTCCTGGTGAATTTCCAGTGAATTTGAAATGTTGACCGTTAAGAAAATGATTTATGTTTTAAAACATGTGTATTCCCTTTTCAATTCCAGTGTTTTGAAATTGATTATTAATATTTTTGGTATTCTTACGATTTTGGCTTACTCTGTTTACAAAAATGACCACTCTGTCCGAATGCCCAAATTTCCCCCATGTAAAGCAAGAACAATGCAGCTTGCCAACTTGGGGACCTACTGACCTGTTTTTATTCTTGGCACTTGACAAAATCACAATCTCACAAAAGCTAATCACAGCCAACGAACAATACCCCAATTTCCCTGCTCTCCATTTTGATCAAAATTTAAATTGGTCTTAGAATCCCTCTAAGCTAGATATTGAGTACCTAAAGCTGGGATCTAAAAACAGGGGGTGCAAAGAATAAGTTACTTACCACACTGAAAAGATGGTGGCGAAGGAGGTGGAAAATGGGAAAAGCCCTCGATGAGGGGGCGTTACTTTGGCTCTGCCTACTGACCCAGTTACCGTTAGTTACTGTTACAGTTACAGTTACAAATACTTTAAGGACCGTTTAAATGCTCGTTAACGTTTGTTTTCGGTTATCTTCAGGTTGGTTATTCTCTTTTTTAAATAGATGGGTTCACATTGGCAGTGTTTGGTTGTAGAACTTTGCGGAGATTGATTGATTTATTTTTAAATTCCTTATCGATTTACTCTAAGGGGTTTGCTCATAAGAGCAAGGTAAAAACAAGCTTTATAATAAAATGGGATTTAACAACTTTCCGATTGGAGGTTAAATATTTATATTTTTAGTAGTTATTTATAACTTAAATGCACTTTTACAGTGTTTAAGTAATTTTCACTTATTCTTCGTTTAGGTGGTTTAACAATTGAATTCGTTTTGTTTGTTTAATTGGCTTGGTTTCGCTTTTGGGTTTGAGGTTTTCTTGTATTACTTTCTGTTTATTATTTTTTTCTTTTTTTGTATTTTTCCGTTTTGCAGTTTTGGGCCGCATTAAGCGTGGAAAGCGGAGAAAAGCGAGAAAAACACGTCCGCACTGGGCGAAGAGCCAGGAGAACCTGAAAATCAGTACCCAACAAGCGGGCGAATTTGGAATCACCCTCCACCGTCGATTGCCTTTCGCTCTCGCCGCACTTTCTTCCGCTCTCGCCGCACTTTCTCCCGCTCCCGCCGCACTCTTTCCCGCTCTTTCTCTTAGCGCCGCCGCCTTTGATGTGTCCTGTCTGTGACATTTACAATGTCAGCCTCCAATCGGGATCCCAATTCGCCGCTTCTAAGAGAGAAACAGAGCGGGAAAGCGGTGGCTTGGGGCGACTAATTTGTTTTCGGCTTTAATTTCTCGCCGGGAAACTCCTGTGGGCCAGAAAGCGCTCTTTTGATTTTGCCTCTTGTCGTGTTGGGCTTTTCCGACAGTCATATGTTAGCCACTCACCTACAATTTTGGAGTGGAGCATATGGGTGGACTTGGAAATAAAATTATTGCTAAGTAAGTTAATTTGAAAGTTGAAACTAACTAAAACCGAAGGGAGAGACATAAATGAATAACCTTCCATTCCTTTTGTGAAGCGTTAAATAATATCTTGTTAGACCAATTTTAAGAAGAGCTTGCAATATTCGATTCTTACACTCAAGAATTCAAATCGTAATTATTCGTTTAATAGGCTTTGTTTTAAAAAAAAATCTTCAAAACAAAGAAAATCAAATTAATTATAAATCTTTGATGTTACATTGGTTTGTAAAGGGTTGGACCAATAAAAAAAAACCTGAAAATCTGATGGTTTCCTTTTGAATAGTTCTTTTCAGTGTTTGAATTAACTCAAAAAGGTGGAGAATAATAGGACTCCAAAAGAAAGACCTAAAAATCCATCACGATGGGGCTGAGTGGGTGGCCACCGAAAAGCACCCTTTCGCGACCATCAGGTGGCCATGGCCGCTCATGGGTTTGTCATTACGGGCGCGTGCCTTTCGGCCAGCGAATTGGGCCACGTCTATGGACTGATAAGTGGCCATTCACCAGGCCATGCCCCATCCCCCCTTGGTTGACCACCAATTGAAGGGCAATCGCTTTATAATTCAATTGCTGACGTCGTCCCTCCTCCAAGATCAAAGAGGTTCCCTAATTATCCGGCTGGGCTCCACTTGATTGATAGTCAGTTTCTGGCTTTTGCTTGGTGGTGCACTTATTTATTTTTGGTGGTTAACTGGTTTACTGGGTGCTCTGTGTGCCACTTGGCTAAATTATGGTTTAGGTTAATTAGGTGAAAAAGTACGAGGAAGTGGGTGGTTGGGGATGGTCTACCCGATGGTCCGTTTGCTGGCGATGTGGTTTCTGACGGTAAAAAGTACGATCGTGCTCCTGCTGGCAAGGATCCAAGCTGGTAGTGGGCGTGGCAGTTGGCATTAACCTTTCCTCTTGAGATACCTCATCATCAGGATAATGACGATACTGCGGTTGTGGTTCTGTATCTCTTTCCCTCAAGTATTGGCTCTCCATCGTTTCCTCAGAACTTCTAGGATATAAAGGCCGTCTTTTAATGGGAACTGGTGCAAAACTTCTCATATTTTGCTCAGGTCTTATTTTTCTCAAGCCTTGGCTCCTCGGAAGCAAACCAACAGGACCAACAGGACCCACATCCCAATATCTTTGTGGCTGATTGAGAGTCCTTGTTGGATACTGGCCAACTTCATCACTGCAATCCATTCCCCTCACAATGTTGTTCATGTAAATCGAGTGCGGTAAACGTTTTCTGTATTTCGGTCTTGGCCTGGGAACTATTTGTTTGTTGGACACAAAGTAATCCCTCTGCTGGGGTCCTATTGGCGCCATTCGCTGAAGTGGTTTGGCAAAGTTGCCCTCATACAAAATGGGTTCCACATAGTTTTTCACCGGCTTACGGAATCGATATGCAGGAGGAGGTCTGGGATGTTCTGCTGGATATTCGAGAAATATTATGATTTTAGTATGAACTATAACTTTGTACTTCAAAAATGCTCTTCTTATGCAGAAATTTTTATTTAGGAATTAGGATTTTGGCAAATTAAGGGACATTTTCTTATTGACATCTGTCAGAGAAAATTAACATAAAGTTAAAATCACTTTCTCAATTCATATTCATTTTCCGAATAAAAATTCTTAACAAGGCCTGTTAGACACGAGTCTATAAGAAACTCCTTTGCATTTTGCCGATCCAAATAAATATAATCAATTTATCTAATTATTCTTACAAGTCACTTGTGCTGGCATAAACTGAGGACACAGATTGGTGTCCTGCTCATCGGTGTCCCCACAAGGTTCTTCTGTGGTGGTAACAATATGGTTTTCAGACTTTTCGGTAACTGATAAGTCTATAATGAAATGAATTTAATTTTTGAATTATTCTCAAACTTAAACTGACTAACCTTCATCTTCACATCCAGAGAATTCGGGAACCTTGGTGGTTTCCTCTTCATCTTCGCAATTCTCTTCAGTGGTGGTTTCCGGTTCGGAAGTGGTTGTTGAAACAGTCGTTGTAGGCATGACCGTAGTGGTGGTGTTCACTTCCGGTTTCAGCCTCAATTCGGCAACTTCGGTGGTCATAATTACCTGGATAACCTCGCTGGGCTGACTGGCGTTATCTAGTTTTATTTGCGGTGGATCGGGAACTTTTGCAGAGTTTCCCTTGGAATTCTTTCTCCTGTTTCTAAAGGCTTTCAAACGTTTCAATTGATTCGCTGTAAAAGGTGGTTGTGCTGTGGTACTTGTTGTTGTTGTTGTAGTGGGTTCTGTTGTTGTGGTTTCTTGTTCAGTTGTTGTCATTGGTGGTTCTTCTGTGCTGGTGGTTTCGCCTGGTGTTGTAGTTTCTTCTATAGTTGTTGTTTCCAAAGTTGTTGTGGTGCTTGTTGTTGTTGTAGTATTTGGCTTAATCTTTCTTTGCACTGGAACTAATTTTTTAATTTTTAAGATTTTCGAATCGGGTTGTGGTGCTTCGGTTGTTGTATTTACTGGCAAACTTTCTGTGCTATTGTTCGGCATTCCGAGCAACGCTTTTTGGGTTACATTCTTATTTGCTTTACCTCGGTTTTTGCACTTTTTTGTTTCAGGCTTTACCGTAGTGATTGGTTTTTCGGCTAACAGAGAGAAATTGGCGCAGGGATCCTGCTTGAGCAGTGGTGTTCTTAGCAGGAGTAATTTAACAAAACATGGATGTTCGATGGGTAGTCCCTGCTCGAAAGATGGTTCACAGGATGGCAAAAACTCCACACACTCCTCTTTGCTCTCCTCATAGTCATCAAATAAGTGGCTAAAATCCTCCTGCGATCCACTTTCATCACAACCAATAGAGGCTGCTGGCAAAACGGATATATCCCTTTGATCCCGGCCATTGCTGGGATAAGCCTCAGCCTCCCGCAGCATCATATCTAGAAGTTGAATTTCCATAGGCGAACTAAAGATGGATGGGGGTATGAGCTGTGTAATATTTTCCGTATTGTTTTTTTATAACTCACCCAAAAACTGAAGGTCCGAAAAGTAGCACCCATAGAAGCAGCAGCATCATCATCATTGGAGTGTTTAGGTCGATGGTTTCCATGGAAATGTTGCCCCAACCCGATCGACTTTTGGCTTTTGTTGAGTTCACGTATCTGTCGGATGCAGAACGCTGCGCTCTCACTTTCTGCCAATTGAGACATCGTTCTTTGCGATCTGCAAGTCACCCGCAGCACCCACCCACCCCTCCGGCGAAATTAAATCATAGTTTTGCGGTCAGCTTTCCCATTAGACTCTACTGCCATCCGTCTGGGCGGCGTCTTCGTTTCTCTGGTCTTATTTTCACTTTCGTTCCCTACGTGACCTGTGCTGAGTTCGGCATTTTTTGGCTCTTATTTACCATTACGTTCATTCTTCGCCGTCGTCTGGAATACCCTAAAAATAAAATGGGAGTAACGATTATTATGTATTCCAATCCATTTATAAATAATAATAAATTGTTATAAATTATAAAATAGGGACTATTATTTTTAAGGAACATTTTATAAATAGGACATATTTGTAAATAATATTATTACATATATTATTATAAAGCCATAACTTCAGTAAAAAATTTCATGCAATAATTATAAAATTATTTGATTTCTCCTTAAAATTGTATACCTAACAAATAAGAATAAATGAACTATAAATAACGAATATTTAGAAAATATACAATCTTTTTCTTAGCTTGGTTATTACTTTAATATGCAAAATTTATTTATAGATAGAGGGTATACTAAAGTCAAGTCCCTCTCCGTTTCGTTTGCTTTCGTTTTAGACGTGTTTTATTTATTTACTTAATTTTTTTTATTTCATTTATTTTTATTACCATTTGATTCGACGTTTCGTTTGCCTTGTTTCCGTTTTATGCTAATTTATTTTATTGTTGCTATCGCGTGGGCGTAAAATATAAGCCTTGTCGAGCGGGGAAGGGGGTCTACTACCAAGTAATTAATACCTATCCGATGATTGTTGTTTCTTTGCGAAGAAAAAAACAATTGGCTGCAATTCTTCGTTCGTTTGGCATACGGAAAACATCTGAATAATTAAAAAACAGTTGCTAACTGGTTGGGCTTAAGACGGTGATGGCGGTACTATAAAGCAAAAATAGTATATACTTGCGTACTTGAAAACAGTGTGACTAATAACTTATTTTGAGCTTGGTTCTCTGATTCGCTCTATTCACTATTAAATTACAATTTGTTTAAACAGTTCGTGACAATATTTAGGGAAAGTGATACCGAGATAAATATAAGAATTCAACTTTCGCTTGCTGTTGTAATAGTAAACTAACAAGGAAGTGACTTCATGTTTCTTGAGAAGTATTCATAATGACACCTACAGAATATTTACATCTGGCTAACATTCTTTTTGGGGAAGTCTTGAAATGAATGTCGAAAATCTGTCTTCTTTTCATTCTGACTTTCAGATGTCAATGTCGCATTCCGAAATGTCAGCTGGCGAAAAATACGTGTTTGGGGAATATGCTTAGGGCGAGTTTTCGTCCTGTCATTACCAAATGGCATTCGCGTGTAATTTGTCTCGACTTTCTGGGGGAATCTTCAGCTGCTCATGGAAAATCTGTACTCGCTAAAGACGCTTGTTCTCAACTAATATTTGCCTGGAAGCAAAAAATGTTCCAATCAAATAAAAACCACGAGGACGCCAGTTTACATAGTAAATATTGTTTTTAAGGCGCATATTAAATGGAAATCGCTAGGCAGTTATCTCGAAAAGGTTTGCCTTTTTTCCCTGTTATCTGAAGTATCCTTGTTATGCGGAACATGCAACAGTTTTCGGGTCTCAGCACGCAACACACGCTGAATAATGTTGACAAAAGCGTATCAATGTCACAGTTGGTAAGGGGAAAGTGCGAGGTCGAGGGACATGAGACATGACAGATGGCTCAAATGCCTTGAAGGCGGCAAAATAACACACCAATAAAATACAGTAAATACAGCTCAACCAAAATTTTAAACGGCAAGTGCTTAATATTCTGTTGTATGATTCATTTAAAATTAAATAATGCAGAAGTTTCTTAGACTTAACTGATTTTCTGTAAACTACAACTCTGCCTTTTTCTTTATTTATTTATAAATTCTATAAATGCTAAAAAGAAACGAACACATTTATATTTTAATAAAGCTTATTTATTTTTAATTAAAATAAACTTGATAATTTTTCTACCAAATAAGTTTATGCATAATTATGTTATAAATTAAATGATTTATATAGTTTAAATAACAATATATTTACAATTTAGGTTTTAAAAAGCATTAGTTATTACGAGATACTGATGCCATATAGAGAGGTAAAATTAATTATATATAAATTCGTTAAATTACGACTTCAGAGCTAAATATCTGTTTCATGCTAGTTTCACTGTACAGTCGGTCCTTTTTGTTGAAACACAGCAGAGCTATACCAAAGTCAACTTCGGGTCTTTTTTGGGGTTAGGCGAGGTTTTGAGCTTTGTCTCGTGCTGAGCACCATGTCGCGTGGACATCGAGAGCAGTCAATTAAACAATTGATAAAACCAGTTATCTAACACTTGAGGTTGGTTTTGTTGTGGCTGGCGCTTTTTTTTTGTCGGGTTCTGTCGGGTTTGAAGCTGTTGAAACGGCCTCAAATGGGACACTGACACTGATATCGACGATCAATGTAACCGACCGAAAGTTGATAAGAGTTTGCCATTTTGTCATTGGCCAAGTCGGCTACAACAACGTGATGAATCGAATTTTTTATAGCGGCAATACGTTAATTGGTCAAGTGTTTGCATGGCTGCACATCACAGTTGTTTACCAAGCGATAAACTAATTAAAATTTTGATTATAAATAAGAATAGCATTTGTGCAACTTTGTATCTTGCATAACTGTATGTTAGTAATAAAACATCATTTAACTTTGACTAACAAATCGCAGTTATTGGATAAGTTGACTGGTTGATTACAATTCATTTTGAGTATACTTTTATTCATAATTAATAACGAATACTGAAAAACTTTCTGATCATTTCCATCATATTTAATGGCTAAAATATTCGATCCACAACATGCATTACTATTTCTTGAACACTGATAACTTTTTTATCCTTTCTAAAGGTTATAACTCCCTTTATATAGCCTCGAGGAATTACAGAGGGCCAGTTGTCTGGCTTTATAGACACATCCTTTATATAATAATGTCCCTTCGGTAAGGGGCAAGTTCGGTTAACGAACGGACAATTCGTATTCACTCCATACTTTAAACTACCTTCGAAGTACTTCCAATAGGAATTTATGGCCTGACACGTTGGTTGCTGGGGCAGTGAAAAGGGAAAAAGCTTGTAGTCTCCACTGCCACGCGAATCGACGTAAGTCTCGATCTCCTCGGTAAAGTGTTCATCGTTCACATCTTCCTTTAGAGTAAATGTTCCATTGGCCTTGCGTTCGCGCCCCAAAAGACGAATGTTAAAGTCAAAGATCGATGAGCCAGTTGATTTCCATGAAACCAAACTAGCTTCGTACATCTTCGGGAAGGCCATCTAAAACATTAACATTATTTGCTTATATGTCAATAAATATCCTTTTAGAGTCTTACGGAAGCATCGACGACCAACATCAGAGAAATAATCCTGAAGTCCAGCATTGTTATTTGAAAAATACAAACTAATAAATAGCGTAATGGTCTTTTATATTTATAGGCCACTCGGTTGTCTGATTCCATGTAATTAAATTAGGTTTAATTTCAAAAACAACTGTTTATAAGCTTATTAATTGCACGCTACGCTTATTTAACCATCAGCGTTACAATGTTTAGGAAAAATTGTAATACATTTATTAAATTAAGTCATTGATAATATTTCTATCCCGGTTCTCAGCCATGGTATGTGCCTTCGCTAAATTTGTCTGTCGATACTATTGTTTGAATTTTTGTCCAAGTTTTTAACCATTGGTAAAAAGACGCGGCAAAATCGCGTTAAAACCAAATCAAAATCGTGTCAAAATCGTGTTAAAATCGCGCTAAAATCGCGTCAAACATTCCTTTTGGGGAACTCTTGAAATTAATGTGGAAAATTTTCCTTTGAAAAGAATTTGCCTTTTCCCTGTTATTTGTAGTATCCATGTAATGTTAACTAATAGTTATTATTCAACAATTAGGTTTAAAAAAAGGGTTTTTAAAGTGTTTCGGTAAAAATTTCTATTCTATAAATAAATGCATTCAACTCAATTATTTGATTTTATGAATTTGTATAAAAAGTGATTATGCTATACAGACATTTGTTTATCACGCTGCAAATTAAATACTACTTTTATTAAGAATTAGGTTATTACATGTTAGTAATTAAATAATGTTAACCGCAGTTATTGAATAAGTAGAATTGTTGATTACAATCCATTAATTATGAATTAAAATATACCCAATTTGACTAATAAATAATTTTTTATTATTTATTTTTATTTATTGAATATATAACAACTTTGTGACCCTTTCAACCATATAAAAGCTAAAATGGTCGATCCATAACATGCACTACTAGTTCTTGTTCACTGACAACTTTTGAATCCTTCTTGAAGGTTATAATACCCTTTAGATACCCTCGAGGCATTACAGCCGGCCAGTCGTCTGTGTTGATAGACATGTCTTTTATATAATAATGTCCCTTCGGTAGAGGGCAAGTGCGATTAACGAACGGACAATTCGTAGTCACTCCATACTTTAAAGTTCCTTCGAAGTAGTCCCAATACGTCTTTATTGCCTCGCACATTGGTTTCTTGGCCAGTGAAATGGCCATACGCTTGTAGTTTCCACTACCATTCGAATCGACGAAAGATACGGCCTCCATGGTAAAGTGCTTATCGTCAATATCTTCCTTAAGAGTAAGTGATCCATTGGCCTTGCGTTCACGCCCTAAAAGACGAATGTTAAAGTCGAAGACCGATGTGCCGGTTGATTTCCATGAAACCAAACTACCTTCGTACGTCCTCGGAAAGGCCATCTGGAAAATTGAAATTAATGGCTAGTATGCCAATAAGTATCCTTTTAAGTCTCTTACGTAAGCGTCGACGAAAAACATCAGAGAAATGTAAATCCTCAAGTCCAGCATTGTTATTCGATAAATTGAAAACTAATAAATATTGTAATAGCAATTTATATTTATAGGCAAATCCGTTGTCTGCTTCCATGTAACTAAACTAGGTTTAATTTCAAAAACAACTGTTTATAAGCTTATTATTTGCACGCTACGCTTATTTAAGCATCAACCTGACAATGTTTTGTAAACATTGTAATACGTTTATTAACTTAAGTCCTTATGTCAGCTATGGTGTGGGCCCTCGCTAAAATTGTCTGCCGATACTAGTGTTCGAATTTTGGCAGCTATAGGATATAGTCGGCCGATCCGGCTCGTTCCGACTTATATATGGTGGTACCTGCAATAGAAAGACAACTTTTGGGAAAGTTTTAAGCAGATATCTTTAAAACTGAGGGACTAGTTTGCGTAGAAACGGACAGACGGACGGACAGACGGACATTGCTAGATCGACTCTACTGGTGATGCTGATCAAGAATATATATACTTTATAGGGTCGGAAATGTCTCCTTCACTGCGTTGCAAACTTTTGACTGAAATTATAATACCCTCTGAATGGGTATAAAAATCTGAAATAAAAGCCATTTGTTTGCATGTACAAAGATAAATTTATATATAATGTAAAAATATACGTATGTATATCAGAGATTTAATTGTACTCTTTTCATGTTAACAAGTTATTTGTTCACTCTTACTGATAACTTACATGTATGTACTTGTAAACATCACTTTTTGATTCTAATCAATATTTAGCTATGTACAATTTACCAATAACATCTGGACCTTTGATAAATTGTCCTTACCAAAACGTCAACATTATTATATTAAACTTACGTGTTTCCTCGGCACGAATTTCACCAGAATTCGGGAAGCAGATGAAAGCAGAATTTGTCTTTAAATTGTCACAATTGTCCTGGATTCACACAAGGGACACGAATTAATACTCCGGTTTAGAATTTAAGCTACAGAGTATGTGCCTTAAAATATTGAATTGCTACTAGTGGGTATAGGTTTCACATTATTTGGTAATAAATTAATACTTCTTGAAACCAGGATTATTAATTTTAAACTGAAAACTAAAAAGTAAATGAGTCATATTATAAAGTATTAAATGAATACGAGTACTTTAATACTGTCTATTTTATTATTGAATACCAACAATCTATTTACATTTTATCTGAAGATTAAAATGCTAGGTCCACTTTTTTATCCTTTTAGGCTTGAGTTACTAGAGCCAGTCTCGCTTGACAGAGACGTCCTTTATATAATAAAGTGCCCTCGGTAGGATCAAGTGGCATTAACGAAAAGACAATTTATATTTACTTCATTCTTTAAACTACCTTCTAAGTACTTTTAATAGTAATTAAGTTCTGAAGTCTATTATTGTTGTTCGAAAAATATAAACTAATAAATACAGCTTTAAATGGTAAATGATATTTATGGGACAATAGGTTGTGTGATAAAAAAGGTTTAGGTTCAAAAACAGTTATTTATAAGATTTCTACGCTTAAACGCTTATTTAAAAACGCGTTAAAAATGCGCATAATCGGCAAACTCGTCTTTAGTCGCACGAAATGTTCTAAAGAAACTATAATTGATTTGAATATCCAAACAAAAAACTATTTAATTAATTATTACCAAAGTATTTCATCTCATCCGATCCACCATTAAAATGAAATAGTCTTTAATTTTTATGTGAAACTTTTTATTTCATTTCAGTTTTGTATTTTTTTTGGTTTGTTTTGTATGTTTAAATACTTATTAAAATTGTTTTTATTTTTTATTTTTATTTTTCGTTTTTGTTGCTGTGTGTTATTAGCGTCTGCTTTTCTGTTGTTCTTTGTGTGTGTGTGTGTGTCGGTGTTTTTTTTGTCGTTTTTTTCGTTTTGCTAAATAGTTTTGCGATTTTTTTGAGATTTTTTCTTTGCGACGGTAGCTAATGTTTACTACATAGTAAATTTATAGATAGATGCATGTATGCGCTTGTGTGCTTGTCTGTGTGTGTGTATTTATGCATGTGAGTATGTGTGTGATTGGGTGAGTTTGGCCTTTAGCTGAGCCTTTAGCTTTCTGAGCGTTTTCTATCGTTCTGCATATCATTTCGTTCATTTTGCTTATCATTTCAATAATATTTGTTAGGAATGGAAAAAAATTACAAGCCATAAAGGTAGAAAAAAACTTTACAAATTACATTTTCAAAGAGCACAAGGATAGAGAGAGATGGGGGCGAAAGACGGCTAGAGATGGCTTCCCGTCTATTTACAAAAGTATTTATCCTCGAATCGCTGGCAGTAGTCGCAGATCAGCTGGCAGCACCGTCCATTATTGAATCGACATCGGCACTTTTCCACCTGCTTCACCACCTGCGTGGTGTAGCCACGCCCACAGCACAGGGTCCCACAATTGTCCGGATGCAGGCACTGGCGATCCTTGGTGACCGCGCAGTAGGAGGGCGAGGTCTCCAGATAGTACAGCGTCGTGTATTGCGATTGTTGGGGCTGCAAATGGAGATATTTCACGAGTTTTAGTGACTGCATTTTATGTTCTTAACGAAGATGGTAAGTCTATGTGCCACAGAAATATAAACAGGTTGTTATTCGGGTTTTACTGCCAGTTTTACAAAAATTGTAGTGAAAACAATAAGGACTCTATTAAATCAAACGTTTCTATAAATAGTTAGATACTTTTCAAAATTTTTTTTAAGCTATTAAGGGTGTGTCTTTAAAATAAAGTATTTATTTAAATTTCATTTTATAATTAAAAACGATGTAAAGAGCAGATTTTGTTTATCATTACTAACCGTAGGCTCAAAATTATGTCAAATACAATTTTGTTATTTCTATGAGATTATGTTGTTGAATTGTTGTAATAAAGAAAATAAACAGACGGAATTTCAATTTTAACTAAATGTTGATTAAGTGGCAAGTTTTATTTTATATATTAATCCTACTTTATCAAAATACTTTAAATTTTAAAATTTTTGTATTTCTGGATTTCGGTAAAAACACATTAACTTATTCGTATGGAAACTCACTTTCTTGCGTCGCTGCTTTGGTTTTTTCATGCGACTCGAGGAGACCTGTCGCATGGATCGTTGGTTGGGCGCCTTGCGGATGGCCTCGTTATATTTTTGCCTCAATAGCGTGGCCGTGGCATTGAAGTCGGCCATTTTCTTCCAGCAGGTTTTCATCGAACAGGATCCGGAGACGCCGTGGCACTTGCACTTGTCCATCATCTGCGAGGAGACAGCCTCGATGCCGACCTGCAAGATCAGTAAACTTGTTAATGAACTATTCAGAATGCTGTATTTTTTAAACCCTTTATGTTCCATTTTCAAATTGTTACAAATTATTAAATATTATTGCAGATATTTTATGATTAAAGACACAAGAAATCCTACAAACTCTTCTAAAGTACATACAATTTTACAATAATAACCTAGAAGAATAGCTTTTCCCCTACATTTTAGTTTTAGTTCTCTGTACTAAAATATGTTTTCTATTTAAAACGCGTTTCAATTCTAGAAAAAAAATATTTTCAATTTTTTTTTTCACTATAAAAATTGACAAATCAGTTTGTTAAGCGAGAATATTTAATAGTTTTCGGAAAAAGCTACAAATACATCCGCAATACATCCGATTCAAAGGAAGAATTTAACAAGCCCATAAACAATTTTTTTTAATATTTCAAGGTTTAACGAGCTCGAATTGCCTATAGGAATTCATATTAATATATACTCCAAAACCATTATACTTTTAAAAAACTGAATATTTACCTCTGAGTCATGTCGCAATATCTCGCTGACCTCGTCCCCCTCGCCACCGCGCAAGTCCAAAAAGCTGCGGGTCACCCGCTTGCCGTGCTTCAAGTTGTCGTTGCATCCGCCCCACTGGAAGTCCTGCGCCTCCCGGTTGTGCTTCTTGGGGCCGCAGCTGCACTTGGTCATCCGCCCCTCGGCACAGGCCCTGGCTATCGAGTGGGTCATCGCGGCGGCCGTGAGGGCGTGGACGAAGGCCGTCTCCTTGTAGAGCTTCTTGAAGATGTTCCGCTTGCCGCGCGTCTCGATCGAGCAATTCCAGCGATCGTAGCGGAACTGCTCCTCGCAGTGGGTGGTGGCCAGGCGGCGGGCCTCGCTGAGGGTTCCCGGCAGACCCGTCTCCTTGCGGCACTGGTGGTTCTGGCGCCGCGTGGCTGGCATATATCTGCAGGGTCCTCCCACTTGGCCCTGTGACGTGAACACCGCCATCACAGTGTGCTCCGAGATGAAATGTTCGCTGGAGAAGTAAAAAAAAGGTTAATAGAGTTGGATTAGTTTAAGCCATTTGAAATTATTTAACAAAGTTCCAATTTATATTCAAAATATTGTAATTTATAGCGACATCTAGCGCTGACTTAGAGAACATCAACATTCTACATGGAAATTACACAGTGATGTTATTGGCGCCATCTACCTCTTGTTAGGCAGACTATTGCATAAAGAGTTAACGGTAAAAATACCGATTCATCATAAATTTAAATTTATACGACTCTTTCCATTTCTATTAACCAATAAATCATTACATTTCCTAATAAAAAATACAGTATATTCCCAACGACATCTTTTATAAATTTCACAATCAAGATGTAGAGCAGTACAATTTTTACAACTAATAATAAACCGACATTTGGGGAACTTTTATTTGATTATCAAAAGTTACAACATATCTGAAAGCGCCTTCTCTTATCATTGACTCGGCTTCTAGGAATGGCATAGAGAATTTCACTTCAATTGGTTTCTCACGAAAACTCTATTCTATATCTTTTTCCAGTTAACTTAGAGCTTGCAAGTTCGTATTTTATTTTTTTCAAAAAGAAGCCGCCGCTTCACCTCACTCGCTTCCTGTCCAGCTTCGGTTATCATTTTGTGGCACCCACTCTGCTCCAGGGCTTTAGAGTATGCTGATTTGCAGGAAATCTTAAATTCTCATAAAACTTAAGTGCATCGTAAATTGGCGTATGAGTAACGGGCTCAGCAT